AAAGGGACAGGTGCGCCTTTTTTGGAGNTTGATTTGAGTCTTGAATATATGTAAATAGTCTCCAGAAATACTAGAAATATACGAAAATCACATAATTCCTTCAAAAATATCTCAAACTAGGAATTTTACTCACTATTTCTATAGATGTCTTTACTATATATATCACAGTGTCTCAAGAAAAGACGAGTCGTCATTTTAACTTTCAAACGTAGATAATTCTAGACACACATGGATTTGAAGGCTCAAATTTTGACAGTGAGCTGTGAACACTATTACTGATTAACTTAGCTAAAACATTTTCATTTCTGAGACTAAAGTATGATTGGTCAGAAAAATAATGCATTTGTCCCTTTGACAGGCAAGGTAACATACGCCCACTGGTAGCTTTGCCATGGCATGAAATGTTGGACTTAATCACAAGCTAAAATTCGTCACAGGTTTCAAAATTGTAAAAAAATATTTATCTTACCTGCTGATAGAGCTCAATTTCAACTACCCGTGTCACTTTTTAAATCCAAATTCAAATATACTGTTCTCCTGCAATGAACAATTTTCAGAAATAGAATTAAAATCTTGGAATAAAGGAATTGTAAAGATATTACGTGTATCAGAGACACTGATAGCATCAATTTACATCATTCTAATTTTCAATCAGACGTCTGTGGTTCTTGTTAAAGAGATTGTAAAGAGGTCTTCTAATTTTTTATGTATATCAGAGACACTGATAGCATCAATTTACACCATTCTAATTTTCAATCAGACGTCTGTGGTTCTTGTTAAAGAGATTGTAAAGAGGTTTTCTAAATTTTTTATGTGTATCAGGGACACTGATTGCATCAATTTACACCATTCTAATTTTCAATCAGATGTCTGTGGTTCTTGTTAAAGAGATTGTAAAGAGGTTTTCTAAATTTTTTATGTGTATCAGGGACACTGATTGCATCAATTTACACCATTCTAATTTTCAATCAGACGTCTGTGGTTCTTGTTAAAGAGATTGTAAAGATTTTTTATGTGTAAATTTAGAAAACTTCTTTACAATCTCTTTGGCACTAATATTTCTTTTTTTAACAGGGTGGAAGATCAGCAGTAACGTTAGCAGTTCTTCATAAAAGACTGGATATTCTGAGATATCTTCTTGATCAACCAGACGTTGATGTAAACAGTCAAGACAATGTAAGTAACTTGCATGACTGGTGATCTTGAATTAGTGACAGGGCCTGGGGGTAGAGGCTTTTGCCCCCCTAGAAAATGATTACCCCTAATTGTACCCCAACATTATTTCAAAAAAATTTATATATTGATCTAAGTGACCCAAGGGACATAACTCTTTATAAGGAGCTCTTCAAGAAGAAGGTTAGAAACTGTATGATCGCACGATACAACAATGTGTTTGCCCTAAAATATGTGTCAGAATGCCCAATTCTTGTTAACAATTTTCTTGGGGAAACTTGATTGATATATTAAATTGTTGTTTAATTAAGGAATGAATGTGGAG